ATTTTTTGCAGTGCATGCAACATTTAATGCCATGATTTTATGAATTTAAGTCCTTTTAAGGCCTTAATTTGTGAAAGGGCAAACTAAGACTTTTTAAGACCTTTTTAAAACCCGCAGAAATCTTGAATGAATGAAACATGCCAAAATGTTGTTGCATGCGTACATGACGTCATCTCGTGCCTGAGAGACAAAAGGAAATTATTAAGGAAACCGCTTGTCCTTTGAACTGAGTTATTAAAGAACAAAAAAGGGGTATCTGAGGATGGAAGAGCAAAAGACTTTTATAAGATCACATGATGTCTAGCAGATGCTTTGGGCCCTTGAAAGAGGCCCCATAGTAGCAGCACATCATAGGGCAACACAGACTCAGAGGAAAAGTCAAAGTGGCCTGGTCTTAGCCCCGAGCAAGCGGCTCACTCAGAACACAAAACAAAACCAAGTCCATATCTCAGTTCATGCATTTTTCATAAGGTATGGATACCAAGCTCTTTCAAAGATAAATATCAATTATTGAAATAGTTAATTAGAAGCCCATATCTGGCAAAGATACAAATGAATAAAGAACTTTGATAATTAATTATTGATTTGAAAAAATTAAGCTCTGCAGGGAGCACATTTGAGTCTCTAAATATCCAAGGAAGCACAAGAAATGAGTTTTCGCCTCAAGTAATGTTCAATTAAAGCTGTACTGACTGTGAAAGTCCGATGGTTTGCCATGAGACCGGTTCTTTTAAATTTCACATCCATATGCTTTAAACTCTCAGACGTGTGAAATATTGGGCGCAGGTTGATGTGCAGTAGTAACAAATCAACAATTATTTAGCAGTCATAATTTGAACAGAATAAAACTGTACTGACAAAATAGATCTTAACGTGCAGCTTTAGGTTCAACACTCACGATCTTAGATTTGAAAATCAGCACTGCAAGCTTGGTTTCTCATGTTAGTCATAATTTTACTTTCTTACTTCTGCACCTGTATTTCCATCTCCTGATTTGGCAGTAACATTGTCCTCATTTGAGCATTTTTTAACCTCTTTCATCCAAACAGTCATTGATCATAGATCTTACGCAGTAAAGTTGGAACACAATAACAGATGAATGAGACTTAGTTTCTCTTCATCTCTGGATCTTTTTAGTTTCTGATGAAGGCTCATTGAGGGTAAACCGCACATTTTGGAGAATAAAAAGAACTTGTGAGTCAAAAGGCACTGGCACTTTCATGGCAAGCCTCAGTCTTCTCCCAGTCTCTTCTTTCCTAATAGCAACACAATTAATCCTCTGTAGTATTGTTTTCACTCTTCCATGTCCCACTTAGTGTTGGCAATTCTCTCTCTCCCTACAGAAAAGCCTCTTGATGTTTTCCACACTGAACTGCACTTAAGAAAGATTATTAATCAAGTTCAAAATGGGCCCAATACTTGTCGGTTTCCTCCCTAAACCCTTCTCCAAACCTCTTTCAGGTACAAATTAAACTTTCAGGTCTTTTTGAAAGTACAAAAAAGAAATTTATTCTACATACAAAAATTGTGAACATCTTCAGAACACTTTTCACACTATAAGCACCACTATTTTGTAGAGCGTTACAGCACTTTAAAGTACGGAAACGAGGCCTTTTTGAAGCAGTTCAGGACAAAAGCTGGCCGTCCCGGGTGAGTTTTACAGCAGTAACAGAAATGCTAACAGTTCTGCCTATTAATCATGATTAAAAAGCAATGAGTAAAAAAAAAAAATGCAAGGAAGATTGCTTTTCTTGCGTTTTCTCTTCAATAAAAGTAACTTATCCAGACAAAGCAGCTTTAAAATTCTAGTTTCTTTTTCAGTTGATAGTTTTCTTATCTTTTACTGTATATGACTTGTACTGCCACATGAAAAATATTCTTTTTTTAGTTAATAACAGTTTTTTTTAAATGTGATGTATATATTTTTCCCATAAAAGCTGAAATTACGTGTACACAATATGCTGTAAAATGGCACAATGATTTTTAATGCTCCAATTTTTGTCATGAAATTTCATTTAGAAATTCCTACTGCATTTTCACACATTAAATATGACATAAATATATAACAGGGGCAATTCGGGAGGCCTCTTTTCATTAACTCCATACTGGAGTGAAGCTGTCATTATTTTTTCCATGATCAGTAATTCGTTTTGCTACTCAAAAGAACATAATACAACGCACAAATCATAACAAAAATGACAAAAACAATCAGATGGATTACAGCTTTAAGCAAATTCCCTTGTCATCTTTGCATGACCCTTCTGAGTTTCTGTAGCTATACGTTCGTCTGGTTCTTTCTGAGAACAAGACACACTTGACTAAAATGGGTGTATCTGGGAAAATTTAAATGTATGGGTTCATTGAACGGCTCTCCATCCACAGATGATTTTCTTTGTATTCGCACTTACTCCAAATACACTGCCTGATTGGAGTCTTTAAATAGATTTTAAGTGGGTGAACTTTTACTTAAATAAGATGTATTTGATTCTTGACTGTACATGCTTTTACTTCACAACTCTAGCTAGTGGTTCTGCATCCAGGAAGAACCTGCGCCACCGGAAGATTCTCGTGCAGATATGTCATGCTGCCCTGCTCAGAGAAATCTGCAGCTGTATGGCCCTCGCCCCGTAAGACCCACTTGGTAGTGAGAAGCCCTTCTAACCCCACAGGCCCACGGGCATGAATACGAGCCGTGCTGATGCCAACCTCTGCACCTACAAAGCACCACAGGATCATTATGAGATTAAAAGGGGAAACATTTTAATAAGTTTGTGGATGAGCAAAAAAGAAAAAGACACCTACCGAGACCAAAACGATATCCGTCAGCGAACCGTGAGCTGGCATTCCAAAAGACACAGGCACTATCTAATTGCTGAAGGAACTGCTCTGCTGTGTCCTCTACAAAGAGTATGTGAAAGATAATGATAATTAAATAAATTCAATAAAGAAAATTTAAAAAAATGTTTGGAAGCATCAATGTTCCCACTAGATGGCACTACAGCACTGCTTTTTTTGTTCACAATAGAGCACTGAAAGCGAATGCATGTCATACTTCATCAAGTTTAACGTTTACACAGCTTGCAATTAATTTTAACACCAAGAGTCTAGATTTATTCATGATTGTCAACCACTATAGGCAGGTGTATGTTTCGTCTTACCATTTTCAGTGACGATAACATCAGTGTGGGAACTGCCGTATTTATGGATGTGATCAACAGCCTCCAGCATACTGTCCACAACCTCGATACAGCACTCCAGATCCCCGTACTCAGTACGCAGAGACTTGACCTCTGACGGGCTGAAGGTCAGATACGATGCAAACTTGGGGCCGGCATGGATCTTCACCTACAAAAGTCAAATAATTTAAACAATTTTAAGAAAGTGCAGTTATAAATGTAGACTATCATTTTATAATATGCAGAAATATATGGAAGACACACACACACAAAAAGAAAAAGAACAGTGAAGAAAAAAGAAAAGTAACAGTGAGATATAATTAAGATGTACACTACTCAAGCAGTACTAAAGTTTTTTTTTTTTAAGGAAATTAATACTTTTATTAAGCAAGGACACATTGCACTGATCAAAAGTGACAGTAAACAAATTTAATTATTTACTAAATATTGTAATTCAAATTCAGTGGGAATAAAGAATCACCCCCTTTAAAATAATGCAGCCTGAAATGAAGACAGAATTTATGACAAAGAGTGGTCATTGTGTTCATGTGACAACAATATCACAAAATCTCCACAAATGTGGCTTGTGCGGGAGTGTTGCAAGAAAAAAAGCCACTCCTCAAGAAAGGCCACATGCTGTCACGACTGAGCTTTGCCAAAAGACACCTTGAAGATTCTGAGGCAGATGAGACTAAAATGTAATTATCTGCCCTCAACACAAAATGATATGTCTGGCAGAAATCCAATACAGCTCATCATCCAAATAACAGCATTCCTACAGTAAAGCATGGAGGTTGTGATATCCTGTTATGGGGGTGTTTCTCTGCAGCAGGGACTGGAGCACTTGTCAGGATAGAAAGAAAAGTGGATGGGGCAAAATAACCTCAAATTCTGCTGCTCTCTGCCAGAAAGTTGTTTACCTTCCAACATGACAATGACCCAAAACACACAGCAAAACTGACCACACAGTGGTTTAAGGAGAAAAAGGTGAATGTCCTTACATGGCTTAGTCAGAGCCCAGACTTAAAATCTGTGGAATGACTTGAAGACTGCAGTCCACAAACGCTCATCATTAAATTTAACTGAACTTGAGCAGTTCTGCAAAGAAGAGTAGGCAAATAATGCAAAGCCTACATGTGCAAAGTTAGTAGACAGAAATCCCAACAGACTAAAGGCTGTAATTAAAGCAAAAGGTGGTTCAACAAAATACTGACACAAGAGGAGTGATCCTTTTTCCAACTAGATGATTCTGCTTTTTTTTTTTTTTTTCATGTTGGTGTTATATCTTTCACTTGGATGTTATAAGCTGCACTGAGTAAATACAGCTCGATAAACCAAAAACTGTGTCCATCTTCATTTCAGCCTACAAAGCAACAAAATGTGATTACTTTAAAGGGGGGTGATTCTTTTCAATACCCACTGTAAATGCTGTTGAACTTTTTTATTCATCCAAGAATCCTGAAATAAAATTGTATCATGGTTTATGCATTATGTATCCACAAAAATATTAAGCAGCTCAACTGCTTTTACATTTATAATAACATTAATTTTTTTCTGGAGCATCAAACAAGTAATAAAATAAAATAAGCTCTGAAGGATCATGTGGCATTGAAGACTGGAGTAATGGCTATTGAAAATTCAAGTTTGCCGTCACAGGAATTTGATCAAGTTTAATTCATTTACTATTTTAAAACATATTTAAATAGTAATCGGAATAATTTCATATTATTACTGTCTTGTTTAAATAGATACAGCCTTGGTGAGAAAGAGACTTCTTTTAAAAACATTTTTAATAATCTTCGACCCCAAACTTTTGAACGATAGTATGCATTTGCATTTACATTTTTTGTTTTGTTTAACCCTGAGGCAGAAAGAAGCTTCAATAGAAACACTATATTATTTTTTTCTAGACCAAAGACAGATCTGGTTACAGTCCTCAGAGTATAGGCCTAATTAAGTATGAATGACATACTGTGGATATATATGTGGTCTTACATGTTCTGTTCTCAGCATGTCAATGATCTGATCAAACAATGGGGTTCTGAGAAGATCTCGATGCACCAGCAGGGTTTCCATGGCATTACAGGCTGCAGGGTAGTCGCATTTAGAGTCTCGGACTAAAGAGATAAAACATAACCAGTGTGATTTAAACCATTATAAACAATAAATCTACAATATCAAATTGTTGTCTGTGAAGTACACCTATGTGGAAAAAACAACAACATCTACACTCGTAAATCTTCACTGGCAGTCTTACTGATCTTGATGGCTTTGTCAACACTGGCCTCATGGTCCACATAAACATGGCAGATCCCCTCACTGTGGCCAAGAACAGGGATGCTCTTAGCTGCACGCTGAATATCTCTGACTAGCTGAGAGGAGCCGCGGGGAATGATCAGATCAATCATCTTCTCCAGACGGCACAGATCCTCCACCTCTTCACGCGTGCTCACCTGCCACACACATTATATCTTTTAAATGACTATATATACACACACATCAAAAGGTTTTTTGTTGTTGTTGTTTTTAAATTAATACTTTTATGCAGCAAGGATGTATTAAATTGATCAAAAGTGAAAGTAAAGACATGTATAATGTCACAAAAGATCTCGATTTCAAATAAATGCTGTTCATCAAAGAATCCTGAAAAAAATCCAAACTTCTAGAGGATCATGTGAAAATTTAGCTTTGCCATCACAGGAATAAACATTCATATTTTAAATATATAAAAAATGGAATTGTAATTTTAAATTGTAATAAGATTTCACAATATTACTCTTTTTACTGTAGTTTGTTCAATTATGTAAATGCAGCCTTGGTGAGACTTCTTTTTAAAAAACACACACAAAAAAAAAACTTACTGGACCTAAACTTCTGAACAGCAGTGTGTGTGTGTGTGTGTGTGTGTGTGTGTGTGTGTGTGTATAGCCCATTCTACAGGATTGGTCCAAACTTCTGTCCCACAACCAAAAAAACACATTTAAAAAGCATTTAAGTATTCAAATCTTAGATGTTTACTAAGATCCTTCTATTCTCTATTGAAACCCACAATAATATTTAAAATATTAGTAAGCTTAATATATATAAAATCATCATTTATTGGGTACTTTCAATCGGGAGGTGGCTGTCCCGAACCCTAACCCCTAAATTTCAACTTATGAAAATGATATTGAAATAATTTTTGCATTTTTTTCAAATGTTGTTTTTAAAATATCTTTGATTCTTTTAAAAAGTGAAGTAAAAAAAAAATATACATTTCCTTTGTAAATTATGAAACTTTATGTAAAAAAATGTGTCCCGCATTTTCATGTCACTACCGAATCAGTCTATGTTTTAGTCCATTGGCTGAGACTGAAATTAACTACACCCCTACATGTATGACCAGGAAATATTTGTCTCTCTCTCTCTCTCATAGCTACAGGGTGAGTAGATAGGCCCCTTTATATTGAGGTAAATGTGTTCAAAAGTCTGAAAAATCTGTGTGTAACTACGGAACGTCAACACCGAACACCTTTTTTCTGCGATAAAGCACACTTTTTTGGGAGTTATTCCATATAATTTAATTTTTATGTGTGTACAACTGTTCAAAACTGCGCTAGCTATCCATGTGCTGATTAGCATCTTTGAGATAGGCTCAAAAGTATCTAAATTTGTTTTTTTTGGGTGTTATCCAATAACATTGTCACTACCGAAATCATGTCACTACCGAATCAGTCTATGTTTTAGTCCATTGGCTGAGACTGAAATTAACTACACCCCTACATGTATGACCAGGAAATATTTGTCTCTCTCTCTCTCTCATAGCTACAGGGTGAGTAGATAGGCCCCTTTATATTGAGGTAAATGTGTTCAAAAGTCTGAAAAATCTGTGTGTAACTACGGAACGTCAACACCGAACACCTTTTTTCTGCGATAAAGCACACTTTTTTGGGAGTTATTCCATATAATTAAATTTTTATGTGTGTACAACTGTTCAAAACTGCGCTAGCTATCCATGTGCTGATTAGCATCTTTGAGATAGGCTCAAAAGTATCTAAATTTGTTTTTTTTGGGTGTTATCCAATAACATTGTCACTACCGAAACGGTCACGACCGAAACATGTCATCATTGTTTCGGTAGTAACAAAAGGAAACACATAATCCTCATATTTGGGGGAAATAAACAAAAAAAAAACTGCATAACTGTACTAAAATCTTTAGTATGTTTTAGTAGTGTTTTAGTATGCAAGTTAAAATTCTGCAATGTGATGTGGTCGCTACCAAAGCATTACTGTCACTACCGAAAATGGGATGTTTTGTCAAAAATAAAGTATACTGAATTATGATGAGTTTTTGGTTCAATGTGTATTCAAACTACTAAATCCTTAACTTTGAAATCAGTAAGATCAACTTTTTGATTCAAAATACAACAAATCTCATAAATTACACTTGAAATATTGTTAAAAATTTAATTTTTATAGATTTAACTTTGGAAAAAAAAAATTATAAAATAGAAAAAAATATATTTATGTATATGTAAGCAAAATCCTATTAGGTCAATATAACCCTTCTAATTAAATTATTATTACTGTGTTTCGGGAGTGACAAATTTGGGGAGAGGAAAAATATTCTGACTATATATCTGAAAATACAATATGAGAATTAACTGCACAATTACTAGAAATGTGCAACTTGGATATTATCAAATTTGCATACATAATTTTTTGGGGGGAAAAATTAATTATTTTCAATACGTTTTTTAACTCTGACTTTGGACCAATTCTGTAGATTCTATACAGATTTGCCCATATATGAATGGTGAAAACCTGCTGTGCAAAAGCATTTCATTTACCAGCTGGATGGCATCTTTGACTCCATGGATAGACAGAGCCTCCTGAGTGAGTTCATGCAGGATGCGATTTGTGTTGGCCGCCTCTTTGCCACCTTTCAACAAAAGAGCATTTCCACTGGCAATGGCTAAAGCAGAAACCTGTTGGTTGATAAAAATAAATTAGACATTTAGCAGATGTTTGAATGAAGCAACTCACATTACACTACAAATACAGGTTGGCCAATCCCACTTGAGCAACCTGGAGACTGGGCAAATCTGGTGACGAATTAAAGGGTTTGAATATACAACCTTTCTGTTAACAGCCCAGATGTTTAACCACCACCCACTGGCCCAAACATAAACATGCTCACATACAGGAAAACTAAAACAATATAAAAAAAACTACACTATTTATTTATATGCATGCATTTTGTGCACCTGACCTGAGGAAGGCAGTCTGGTCGTGACTCAAAGATGACCAGTAGTACTCCTATGGGGACAGTGATCTGCTCCAGCTCCAGTTTGTTTGCCACACGAGTCCTGCGCAGAACCCTGCCAACGCTGTCCTGAGAGGACACTGCAATCTGACGTAAGCCGATGGACAGACTGTTCAGTTTAGACGATGACAAACTGAGTCGCTTCAGCATGGCTGGAGACAGACGACCTGTAACATAACAGATTGAAATTGAGTGAACCAAAAAAAAAAAATCTTTGTGATAGACCACTCCAGTGGGGGGTGGGGGGGGAGGGGCCATCTCATGGTCTGGAGAGCATGTGCAATCACTTCCTGTTACCTGTGCTAACAGCATGCTCCATGTCCTTTTTGTTGGCAGATAAGATTTCATCTTTTCTCTCAGTAAGGAGATCAGCCAATGTGCAAATGATGTCACTTCTCTGTGGACAAACAGAATATGACATGACACAGATGCTGACTATAGAGGTTAAGATAAAAAATACCCCAGAATATTCCTTTTTAATCTAATGATTCAACAGTTTCTGGGGAAAATAAGCACATATGATTCCAGCCGTCATTTAAAATAGTGGTTCAAAAGTTTAGCCAACCTGCTCTGGTTCAAGGGAAGCAAGGGTCCTGCCAGCAGAGCGAGCCATTTCTGTCTGCTGCTCGACTGTGGGACCTGTGAATGATGAAAAGTGGCATCTGAGATCTTTCAAAAAACAAAGATAAATGAATCACATTAGAAAAAAACTGATTCAGTAGAACGTGTGGTAACTCACCAGCTGGCTTGACCTCTGAGAAGAAGGTTCCTACTTTCTTTCCCTCAACAATGTCAGTGATCACATGACCCGTGACTTTGGGGTGTGTACCGTTAGCAATGACAACAGACGTCCCACCTTGGAGAGCCCAGAGAGCAGCTTTAACCTGAAGTTTAGTGATTACACATACTGCCAGTTTCAGTTATTCATCCTAACAAAATATATATTTTGTGTGTGTCACAGATATCCTTTCTGTAATCATACCTTAGCTTCCATTCCTCCAATGCCGACCCTGGACTTTGTGCCGTAGGTTATGGAATGCTGGTCGCCAGGGTAAAATGTGTCCAGGAGCTTGGCATCGTCTGACCCTGGTGGGCTGTCGTAAAGTCCTGGAGAGGGTGATAAAAAAAGGCAAGTAAAATGGTCGAGTTTAAAATTTCACTCAAATATTAAAAGCCTGCCATTATTAACTCTGGAAAGCTTCAGACTGCATTTAACTGCATTAAAAAGAGTGACGATAATTTAAGTCTTTAAACCTTTTCCTTAAGTGTTATATAGTACAGTTAAAATATAGTTTTTAATATTTTAAAAATAAATAAAAAGTAGTTATTATAGTTTGTGAAATCATAACCATGATATATTTTTTTCTGTATTTATTTGAAATAGAAATCTTTCGTAACATTATAAATAAATATCTTCACTTTTGATCAATTTAATGCATCTTTGCTGAATAAAAATGTAAATTTCTTAAAAGTTTAAACATAGAATACAAATATAAATAATTAAATGAAGTAAATAAATAAAATATCCAAAAACTAAAATCCTTTTTACATTTTTAAATGCGACAAGAACATTTAGGTATCACAACATCTTAATGTATAGTATCATTTTGAGACTTGCTAAAGATTACTTTATACTAAATACTTGAAGTATGAAAATAGTATGAACAAGTAAATATACAATACAGATAAATAAATAAAAAAACATCTAATACCAGCCAGTAAAATATGATATGGTATTGATGTATTCACTGATTAACATTCAAACTGAAATTCAACTTCAGCCTCCAACTTTTTAAAGTAAAACGGTTAGTTTACTCAGCTAAAACATGCTTGCTTGACACGCAAGAAAAACCAATGAGATTTGTTCCCACAAGCCAATCAAGTACGGTTGAGCTTATCTTTACCATATTTGATGTGCTCTATGTGTGTGCTTTGATCAATGTTTAGATGTGAATTAAAGCCTACATTATATCTGTTCATAAAAAGTGATCGTGTCTCTTCAGAAGACTTGGATTAAACAGCTCGATTTATATGCACTTCTTTTGTGATCTCTTAACCCTATGATGCCTTCTGTATCATATTTGATACCCACATTTCTAAGGCCTCTAATTTATCAACATGATTAAAACTTTGCTGAAAAACCTGTTGTACACAATCTACTACATGCCTTCTGTCATCTGATAGTTTAGCCTTCTTTTAGCAAGTAACAAGGCCTTTTGGAATAATTCTAAAAACTCTGCCTTCAGGTTGTGGTACATGTGTGTTTGTGCTGTTTAATATTAATTTATAAAGTAATGTAAGAATAACTTTTATGAAGATGAACACTTACTGGACAGAAGCAACTTAGGTTTACTTGATTATGTATACATCATATTTAGAAAAATCATGTTAAAATGTTGAGTCTCAAATATAATACATCTGGCTTTTAGGAATGTTTATTTGTATATCATTGCACACCATTGTTTTACACCCCTCAAATTATAACTATAGCTTTTATCCACTTTGTCCCGCAGCGGCACACGCTCTCGCCTCTAGAACTGGCAGTGACTGACAAAGGAAACACATCCAACTTCAGCCTCCAACTTTTTAAAGTAAAACGGTTAGTTTACTCAGCTAAAACATGCTTGCTTGACACGCAAGAAAAAACAATGAGATTTGTTCCCACAAGCCAATCAAGTACGGTTGAGCTTATCTTTACCATATTTGATGTGCTCTATGTGTGTGCTTTGATCAATGTTTAGATGTGAATTAAAGCCTACATTATATCTGTTCATAAAAAGCGATTGTGTCTCTTCAGAAGACTTGGATTAAACAGCTCGATTTATATGCACTTCTTTTGTGATCTCTTAACCCTATGATGCCTTCTGTATCATATTTGATACCCACATTTCTAAAGCCTCCAATTTATCAACATGATTAAAACTTTGCTGAAAAACCTGTTGTACACAATCTACTACATGCCTTCTGTCATCTGATAGTTTAGCCTTCTTTTAGCAAGTAACAAGGCCTTTTGGAATAATTCTAAAAACTCTGCCTTCAGGTTGTGGTACATGTGTGTTTGTGCTGTTTAATATTAATTTATAAAGTAATGTAAGAATAACTTTTATGAAGATGAACACTTACTTGACAGAAGCAACTTACGTTTACTTGATTATGTATACATCATATTTAGAAAAATCATGTTAAAATGTTGAGTCTCAAATATAATACATCTGGCTTTTAGGAATGTTTATTTGTATATCATTGCACACCATTGTTTTACACCCCTCAAATTATAACTATAGCTTTTATCATAAAACTACGCATTTAAATATCATCTTTATAATACATATTATTGGGAGATATAGAGTGACAAATTATATTTCTATGCATTTTATGTAAGTAGTCTGTTATACCATTCTAAAGATAATGGTAAACTGTTCCATTTTTAAAAATGTATATATTTTCTGACTATTATTTCATATGTCAGGCTGCAAAGGGTTAATAAACCTTTTGCAGCTTTGGGTGAATTAACTTTTAACCAAGGGACAGAAATCTCTCCCATTTCACTAAAATTATCTCAGGAAAAAAAATGTGTTTCAAAGATGAATGAACATCTTATGTATTTCAAAAGACATGAGGGTGAGTAATTGATGTGAGAATTTTCATTTTTGGATGAACTATCCCTTTTGATTGTATTTTTGTTCAATCCAATTTTAAAAACCTGTTGTACACAATCTACTACATGCCTTCTGTCATCTGATAGTTTAGCCTTCTTTTAGCAAGTAACAAGGCCTTTTGGAATAATTCTAAAAACTGCCTTCAGGTTGTGGTACATGTGTGTTTGTGCTGTTTAATATTAATTTATAAAGTAATGTAAGAATAACTTTTATGAAGATGAACACTTACTTGACAGAAGCAACTTACGTTTACTTGATTATGTATACATCATATTTAGAAAAATCATGTTAAAATGTTGAGTCTCAAATATAATACATCTGGCTTTTAGGAATGTTTATTTGTATATCATTGCACACCATTGTTTTACACCCCTCAAATTATAACTATAGCTTTTAACATAAAACTACGCATTTAAATATCATCTTTATAATACATATTATTGGGAGATATAGAGTGACAAATTATATTTCTATGCATTTTATGTAAGTAGTCTGTTATACCATTCTAAAGATAATGGTAAACTGTTCCATTTTTAAAAATGTATATATTTTCTGACTATTATTTCATATGTCAGGCTGCAAAGGGTTAATAAACCTTTTGCAGCTTTGGGTGAATTAACTTTTAACCAAGGGACAGAAATCTCTCCCATTTCACTAAAATTATCTCAGGAAAAAAAATGTGTTTCAAAGATGAATGAACATCTTATGGATTTCAAAAGACATGAGGGTGAGTAATTGATGTGAGAATTTTCATTTTTGGATGAACTATCCCTTTTGATGTATTTTGATTGTATTTTTGTTCAATCCAATTTGATTTTTAACCAAAAATGTTATCAAATGTATATGTCCTCACCATATCTTTGAGCTGATTCTGGCCTGAGTGCAGGGCTTGTCTGACACTCTGTGAGAGAAGAATTTCATGCCTCAGCCTTTGTTTTCCAAATGCTACAGCACCACTGGTCACAATCATCATCTCTCTACCCTGATTCTGAAGCACGGCCACCTTAAACAATCAAATTGCATAAATAAAGAGTTATAATGTGACATCAATTAAATATTATAAACAAAATTCCTATAATATGCAACAATAATTTTATTCAGCATCACGATTTGTTAGCACATTATATTTATGTGAAAATCCTTAAGCTTCGATCATCTTTACCTGTTCTACAATTGAAGCGAGTCGGCCCAAAGCGAGGCCGCACTCGTCGCCTCGGGTTACGACAGCACTCCCCAACTTGACGACGATTCTCTTGGCCTGGCGCAGCTCACTTCGGTGAGCAAATGACTTACCGTGCGCCCGTGCCAGCGGCACTGTAAAAAAAGGCACGTTACTCCACTGACGCACAGCATGGAGTGTGAGAAATGGGGAGGAAGAGGGATCTGCATGGAGAGAGAGCCGGAAAAGCACCCAATGAGGAGCCATGCCATGCAGGAAAGCCAGTGAGTGATGGATAAATGGACTGTGTTAGCGTGCACTGTATCACCAATAGACATTAGAATAATGAGGATAGAATGGATATGAGGGGAAATGGTAAAAGACAAGCAGAGAAAATAGCAAGTATGAAGTGCATGTTGTAACAAATGGCATTGTATACTATGAATATAATTAGCTCTGTGACAATTTGCTTATGTTCTTCTCTTCTAAGTCTCTTTGAAAGTGTCTGCTAAATGCAAAAATTTAAATGCAATTGTAAATAAACTAACACTATGCTATTCCCCACAAAATTAATCAATGCAAATTTTTTTATAATCCATAATCTAAAATGGAATAACTTTCTGTGCTTCTTTTCAACTGATGTAACCAAAGCCACATTTGGCAAATAATATTACAGTCCAACTTGCATGATCCAAACAACTTCCAATGAAGTGCATTACAACTATTTACTTTGTAATTAAAAATATCATCTTAAATTTTAAAAGAGTTCTATAAATATATTAATTGAAAATATGATTATAGTTTATAAAAAAAAAACATTACAGATGTGTATAGTGAAATATATATATGAAATGTCTGGCAAATAGCAATAAGATGATAATTATTTTCATGTTATGGCAGATAATAATATGAACAAAAAAATGTGCCTTTATTTTGAAATGAAAAAGATAACATTTAAGAGTGTTATTAAATGTTTTAAATTAGTAATATTGGCCAGTAACTTTTAATATTTTGAGTAAAAACAGTAAATGTGAAAACTCACCTCTACATCTGAGTGAGTAATGCATAAATGTAAACAAATTAAGTGCTGATCCCCATGGAGTTCTATAAATATATTAATTGAAAATATTATTATAGTTTATAAAAAAAAAACATTACAGATGTGTATAGTGAAATATATATATGAAATGTCTGGCAAATAGCAATAAGATGATAATTATTTTCATGTTATGGCAGATAATAATATGAACAAAAAAATGTGCCTTTATTTTGAAATGAAAAAGATAACATTTAAGAGTGTTATTAAATGTTTTAAATTAGTAATATTGGCCAGTAACTTTTAATATTTTGAGTAAAAACAGTAAATGTGAAAACTCACCTCTACATCTGAGTAATGCATAAATGTGAACAAATTAAGTGCTGATCCCCATGGGATTCTAGAAAATTCAAACCAACTGACTTAAAGAAAACAAGAAATCAATATTGACTATTTTTACATGTAAAATTTGATTGGTCTTTATACAAAATTCGTCAATAACAAATGGCAGTGCAATCATAAAAGTGATCTGTAAAAGCAATCAAATGAAATGAACAGAAATCACAAGCCATTCACAAAGCTATGAGCTCATAAAGTTCAGCGCTCACCAAACCCCCGCCACATTTTTTATGAAAGAAAATAACACAGTAAAGGATGCCACATCAGCAAAGCCAGACAGCACAGCCAAACGCTGACAGGACACAACTCAAAGAAGAGCACCGACCCAGTGAATGAGAGAGACAGACAAGCTGTAAATTAAGAGCAAGGGTTATGAATGGAAACAACTAATTGTATCTCTAGATTTAAAGCTCGGTCTCTGACTGATTTTAATAAATAAGAAACAAGGATATACTGATATACTTAATATCCGTTCTGATATTGATCACTTTTGCAATCCATAAACTTTTCTTTATAGTACCCTACATATTTTTCTTTCTTGCAAGAGGTATGTGATACAAGGTACATAAATACTTACTTTTGCCTTGTGAAGCAGCTCTTATGAATGCTTGCATAGCATTAGTTCTCGCTAAAAACTGAGAACAGGAGAACATCTTCTGGAGATACATGGTGACCTGATCTGTACAACTGAAATATACATCAAAACACAATTGATCTAATCAATTTAATTAAATCTTTCAGGCAAGGTCCCCACATTAATAAAGTATGTGAGATATTATGTGAGATCATATGATGATAGTTTATTTAACGAAATGTAAACAAAAGCTTGATCTGCACCCAACTGACCTATACATTCAATTCAACAAGTCAAGTGCATCACTGAGCTAAACGTACAAGAGAAAATAGTTACCAGGGATGGATGCTTTTATTACGTGAAAACATTTAATAATGAGTGGGGAATCTTTATATTGTATAAGAAATAAAAAGATGAAATAAAAAAAAAACTGGGTTCAAGAAACCACCACTTACCAGCACCACAATAAATAATAATGAATAAACAGACATTAGAGAAAAACACTTATTTTCACTGCAAACTTTCTTCAGAGACACGTTAGCTGATGCAAGAAGGAAGATTAAATGGCCTAGCATGAGATTTCTAATGCAATTTATTCAGAGTAATGCAGTAACGTGTAAATGTAAATTTACATACCTTAATCTACAAAAAAATATATTTTTTAAAGCTCAAGTTCACTGCCACCGGTGCTCTTCTGTGCCACATCAACTCTTCAGCAGCTGCTCGCATGGATTCAGCCATGTTGACGTTCATCCACGTAGTTACGCAACGGGCGTACGCAATGATAATTGTACGCTGATTACGGTTACGATTCACAAACCTATTTACGGTCAGCTCCGCTGAGGTCACATACGCAATCAGCGCAAAATTGTAGCGTTTTATTATTATCAGGGCTGCACGATTATGACAAAAATCATAATTGTCGATTATTCCCTTGAAATTGTAATTGCGATTGTCACAATTTACATTGAATGATGTTTATACCACTGTTTGATGCAACTGCATGCCGTATTTTTATATGAAAATAAACAAGCTGAAAAACCTTTAGTGCTTTTCTATAGTAATAAGCCTCAAATGTCAAATATACATCGGATTGGTTTCTTCTTTAAAGAACTTTTATTAAAAAAAAGTAACAATATGAATGGTATTATAATGTTATAGGAACAATGGAAAAACCCTTCAGATAACATGTAGAAAGAAAAAAACATATCTTAAGCGTGCAGAATAACATAAGTGGACTTTGAACGATTACGTAATTGTGACATCCATAATTGTAATTGCGATCAGAAATTCGATTAATTGTGCATCATTCATTATTATTATTATTACTATTATTATTATTGTTATTATTATTAAAACAATTAAAAATGGCATTACAGGTCAGAATATGTATTATGTAGTATATTTGTGGGTGTCGCAACCTCAATGGTACTTTCAATAGTTGTTTTTATAGGCCATTGGTTTGAATCTCAGCCTCCAGCACTAGAGGGCGGCGTGTAAACATCAGGACACACTCTTATCTCTAACGGGTCATCTGCATTCCAAGAACAGAACATGAACAATGGACCATTCTTAATGCTGCTATTTTGCATAGTTTTCTTATGTCTTTAGTGGGTTAGTGACCCATTTCTCCACAAACTCCATTGTAAGTTTAAATAGACTATTGTTTATGAACACCAGGTAGCCTATGTAAAAGAATGTTTCGTCTTGTTCATTAAAAACAGCAAATTGTAGCAAATTGTAGGAATTTTGTTTATAATATTTCCAAACACTGTTCCTGTGGCTTGGTGGTAGAGCATTGCGTAAGCAGTGCAAAAGGTCGTGGGTTCAACTCCCAGGAAACACACATACTGGTAAAAAAATGTATAGCCTGAATGCACTATAAGTCGCTTTGGATAAAAGCATCTGCTAAATGCATAAATTTAATACATATATATACATATATATATATGTATATACAGTATATATATACATACATATATATAATTGTGTTATATATATTAATAATTGTGAGTTTGAAACATACAGTCTGATAATGTTATAATAATAATATGAACATATGAAAAAGTACTGCACAACAACAATGACCCATTCAGCCTTATCTGATCTATTCATAATGTGTCATGACTCTGCAAACAATTTAAAAAGAGCACGTCATCAACAAGGACACCTTAAACAACACAACCCAGATGTTCAGACAGGTTTTATTCATTTTCCACATTCCACAGTCTCTTAGCTCTGAATCTGACTAAATCTGAGGCAAGTCCCAGAGTGTTTCTGCCATAGATGGTAAGAAACACCTGACACATCACATGTATTTATCTGTTTAGACAAAACCCTTTGTCTTCTGCTATGGAGACCTGACTTGACAGGCAACAAATATCATGGTCCATTTCCCCCCCCTCATTCATATAATGCAGTTTACAGTTTAGAAGTGAATCAATGGATAAATTAGTAAAGTGGGCAATGATGATGGAGCGTGATTAGCCTATAAAAGATGCAAAAGCACTGAACAGCTCTTTAATGTCTCAACTAGTTTAAAACCTATTTCAGAGTACCACTTACAACACACATAAAGCATCTCTTTCACAGTACAGCTGATACATTGCATTACTCTTTTATCTTTAGAAATCAAATGAAAATGACAACTGTGCTGAATGTGTTCTTTAATGACACTTCATATGTGCTGAGAAATTCAGTTATTTCACAAGAATATGAAGAGTTATAGTGAAGAGTGATGAGAGCACAAGAAAACAATGGTAACACTTTAGAATAACACATATTTACTAATAACTAAGAGTTTTCCCTGAACAAACTCATAATTTGCTGCTTATTAATAGTTAGTAAGGTAGGTTAAGTTTTGGTATGGGGTAGGGTTAAGGAATCAAAAAAGTCATGCAGAATAAGTCATTAATATGTGCTTTATAAGTACTAGTTTGTAATAATGTGCATGCTAATAAGCAACTAGTTAATAGTGGGGATTGTTCCTTAAAATAAAGTGTTACCATCTTCATATTTTTATCCCCCTTACCCCCTACTTTCAAGTTGTGTACCACAAACATCCTTTTTAATGTGCAGCATGAAACCTTTTGGAGGGAAAAGTTTCTCTAAGAGGGAAGCAGATGGTTAACATCATTGCCAGACAGCCATTATAGCTAGACTGCTGGCTCTGAATCCCCATCTGCAAAGTTAGGGTTAGGGTTACTTACAAAGTTTAAAGTTGATCTTTTCAAGATCAGTTAGTGCCATATCGCTGGGGTTCATTTAATAATACTTTGTCAGTTACACTTCAGTTTGTGGCATGAATTGATATACAGAGATCTGTGCAGAAATGGTCAGTTACGCTTTTGACCTCATACTAAAACAACACTTATTTCTAACAGTAATTTATAGAGTGTCTTGGAAATAATCAATGACTTCGCATGAGAAACTCCTTTATTTACTAGTCAGGCACTTTGGGAGCCCATAACAATAGGCTGTGGTGTGAGACAATCACTGAAATCCACAGGGGTTTTTTTGTTTGTTTTTTTTTAATGGGAAAGTCACAGACAAAATAAGCCAAAAATTTGTGTGGTCCACTTTAGTAACACTGAATAGTCCAGTCTCCATATCCTGAGGACATACAGTGATTAATAGGCTCTTGCTTTCAAGGGTTTCCTATGAACAGATCTGCTATTTTTCCTCCAAACAGATATTTCAGTCCAATTACATTGTTCCATTACCAGAAAAAAAATCACATGGAAACAAGATGAGACACTTGATTATGTTGTTACCATCCAAATAGAGGGGATATAAACATGCACCAGGAAACAGCTTTCTGGAGGATTAATTGAAAGAGTATGCTGTTTAAGTCTGTTTCGGGGGGCCCAGGAAGTCATGCAGACGATGCATTTTCTTTTGAGGAAAGTTATACAGAGATCAAACTTTCAAAAAAGTTATGTATTATGCATTTGGTATCACAGAGGTCCCTTGTGTGTTCTAAATTTAAAAGGGCATCTAGTTTCAGACTGACCACGTTCCAATGCATTTCTACTGTTGTGTAATTGCCTCAAAGACATTTATTGTTCTAAACACATTTGAAATATCTCTCTCTAACTTTTAATGAAAGCCCAAAACCGCATATTATAACTAAGTGTGCCTTTGATCTTGTGTTTAATCTTTTGTATGAAGCATTACTCACTGTATCCTAAAAAGATAAGCACTCAGAATATCTGCCGATTTAAAGGAACAGTTCTCTTTCACAGGGCTCTTTCAAGAATGCCTAGAGGACAGGAATTGCGACATAATTGTTCTCTTGCCCACACACCTAAGTGTTTTGTCATTTGGTTCATCTGGCTGAGGAAGTGAAAATGCTACAAAAATGTCTCGCAACATCCCATTTTCTTTAAAACAGCAGGCTAGCATGTTATTTAGTCCAAATCAGCACATCAACTTCACTAATGATGTGTCCAGAGGCATCAGCAGATGTATGTACATAGCATTATATTCATATTATTATATTGTATTTATAATATATTCTACATATTATATACTATACAGGTATTTGTTATATTTATATTATATATTATTGTTTTATTATTAACACAGTACAACCAATTAAAAACACTTAGCAAAAGATACATTCTTATTATATTTAACAACTTATTATATATATATATTTATTATTTTCATATGATTATACACATATATATATATATATATATATATATATATATATATTATTTTTTTTTGTGTGTGTCATTATTAAACACAAAACAACTTTGTGAATCTTATTGTTTTCTCTGTGGTTTTCTTGTATAATTCTTTCAAGGAACTCTTTGCATGAGATGTAAAAAAAAAAAAAAAGATCATTTACCCTCACGTCAAATCTGCATGACTTTCTTTGGTGTAACACAAAAGGAGATATTTAGCAGAATGTCTAAACTGCTCTTTTTCATATCATGAAAGTTTCATTTGAGTGAACTATCCCTACATGTACATACTGTACTACCCAAGAAAAGCCTAAATAAGTCGCATATTTCTCATGTTCGATTGCCAATGATATTATCAATTTCCACAAACACCTCTTCCTGTCCCCAGGGCAACACCTGCATGAAAGACCCACACAGACGACAACCGAAAGAACACAAAAGAAGACATTTACATTTACATTTAGTCATTTTGCAGACGCTTTTATCCAAAGCGACTTACAATTGGGGAATACATAAAGTGTTTCTTCTTAAAGAGGCAAACAGACACAAGAAGTGCTTGTAATACCAAGTTTTAGGCATTGTTCAAATAAGTACAAGCTAGAAAGGGAAGGAATAAATAAAGAGAAATACTTTTTTCTTAGAAGAGAACAAAACATGACTTTTGTTGTATGTTGATGTTTTTTTAATGACAACCAAGAGTTGTGACAGAGCTAGTTGTAACCCAGAGAGAAACAAAAATGCCTTTGTTTCTGGTCAGAGCTCTGGCAAAAGTGGTACGAAAATGGTTAGCGAGGGAGAGTGTGGATAATGATACTGTAAGGTAAGCTCTCTCTCTCTCTGTCTCTCTCTCATACACATACAGACACACTCTTTGTCAGCATCTTTGTCTCTCTCTTCACACTCACACTCTCACACACACACACACACACTCACACGCACGCACAGTTGAGAAGAGAGAGGTAACAGGCAGACCGTTTACATGGTTGCTGGCAGAGAGAGGGAGGGAGAAAGCTTGGAGACTGGTCCGCCCCCTCATGCCCCCTAGCCTTATAAAGAACCTCAAGAATGGGAAAGACCCTCCAT